TCCTTTCTTTATGCAGCAGTGCCTTATTCTGAAAAAAAAATGTACGAATGGAGGATGCTGCTCACTGTAGTCATAAACCTTCCTCTCTTTCATTGCCTCCCACCCTGATAATGGGAAGCATTTCGTTGGATTTTTTTATTTTTCTCCTTTTTCTGTGACATGCCAAGGGAGCATGGCGTTTGGATGTGACTGTTTAATTGTTTAAAAAAGAAAACGAGAAAAAAAACATCATCATAACTGTAAAGTGAACAGCCAGGTATCCTGTTATGTCAATCATGTTTTGGGTTCTTTCAAAAAAAAAAAACTTTTGCACAGAAGACACGAGATACAAGGACAAGTATCACCACCAGTCTATACAATAATAATAATAATAATAAAAAAAAAGAACAGGATTTTACACATGCCGATTTCTAATGTTAGCATAGAGAGGATGGACCTGGAAACCACCCGCGGATTCCTCTTTGATGGTTGGACTGTATGATGTTAAATAGGTATTGTTCCAGATGTGACTGTATATTAATCGGTACTGTATCTGGCTGGTCTAGATAAAAAGACAACCAACAAAAAAGACATATATAAGTATATTAAAACATTGGTGTATGTGTACTAACTATGTAAGTAAGTAAGTCATATGTCACATGACTTTTTACAAAGCATTTGGGTGTTGGCTGCAAGTTTTTACATTAAAAACCTGTGTCATCACGCCTCTCCCTATTTAGTATGTCAAAGTTTGGACCATTTATCCCCTCACGAAGGGTATTAAATTTTTTGTGTGGGTTAACTGTATCCATGGCGTTTTCTTCTTGTGCTTTAGGAGCAGCAGTATGTGTCCACTGCAGGGAGGGACACACGAATTGAAAAGATAAATATTTAATTCCTGAGTACTATTTATAATGCTTCTGTGAAAGCTGCACGGCGAGCAGAGTGGGGTGTGGGACGACGAGGGACATGCTAACTGCATGCTGAATTCAAATGCAGCCAGCTGTTATTAACAAGGGTGTAAGATCTGTTGCTTCCACTAGGGGGAGACAAAGCGCTGTAAGGTTCCCAATAGCTCGCAGACTGCAGTTGGGACGCTTTAATAACCGTTATTAGCAGAAAGCCTGGGGAGCATCCTGCTTTTGATTCTATTTCTTCTCAAGCAGACTAAGAGCTTAGATGTTGAAAAAGCAACACTTTACTTAAACCACACATATTTGGCACTTATAAGCAGCACTGTGTGCAAACAGTTAATAGTTTATAACACATTATAATGTAGCTGTAAGAAGACAGAAAAGTGTTTATTAATGTATTTGTCAACATCTATAATATATATATTGTGTGAAGCATCTCTAACTGAATGATTAATAACACAATGTGACACAGTAATCATATTTAATGACATTATCTTTGAAAACATTTAACTTTTTATACACATGATATCACTCTCAGGCAGCTTTAAAACACTTTATACATATGTTCAGTACTCATAAAGACATTTCATCGCTTAACCCTCATAAGCAGAATGTTTTCTCCCAGTTGTCATGGCGAGTGATGAAGAGATTTATAAATAAATAAATGTATTATAAAAATATATGAGGATGATTAAAACTGTTATATTGTAAATCATTCATGAAATGTTTATACATTAGTTACATATGTTTCATAAGAGTAGTCCTAGTTGTTGACAAATGTGTTCATTAAAATGCACTTATATCTGTTTACAACTATATTATAATAGTTGTATAACCATATTGTATAAATGCTTAATACTGGGGCTGAAAAAAGGTGTCACAGAGAAAGGCATGACAGTAGGAAAAGATACAATCAGAGTGGATGACAGATATTTGTTTGCTGCTACAGAGACCACCCTCTCCTTCTAATTACAGCTACTTAGGACAGGCTGAGATGAAACGGAGCTGCGTGGACAGCAAAGAGATAAAACGTTGAGCAGAGAGAGATAAGTCACACTGGAGGTTTTCAAGCCTCTGGAATCTTCTATTTGCATCCTCAGCGACGGAGAGGATTGAGTCTAAGAACGAGGTCATCCCTTCCCTTTTTCCTCATCCAACCAGTTTTCAGCCATCTCATAGTCTGAAATGTTGTGTTATTTCCCAGCTAGAAGAATACTTAACATTAATGTTTAAATACTTTTGGTGCACAGATTTTTGTCCATGTCCTCATTAACTACTGATGGTTTCCAGTCTGGAAATGTGCTGGTGACCGTTTCTCACAGCAGGAGAAGTATTTCTGTCTGCTCCCATCTGTAACCATTATTCAGTACAAAATCTGCTTAGGCAGGAGGAGGCTGAAACTTCACCCAGTCTTCAAAATTGGCCAGGGCAGCCAAACTAGCTAACACTGGTAGCAGAGCAAAGTGTGTTGTGTCTCATCAGCAGTTTTGAGTGACTGCAAGAAAATGTGCCTTGACTTGGTGAAGGTGAGTTTTTTTCCACTGAAGATCCCATTATATGTTTAATGCATAGTAATGTGTGTTTGAAAAGTCCAATCTGAACATGGTTCAGTACGCATAAGGTTTAAAGTCTTATCCATGCCAACCATGCTGCCTGCTCTACAGTACTGCGAGTTTTTTTGACAAACCATATTCCAACTGTGCTGAAACTTTGCTAATGCAAAATATGTACTTTTCTGGGATTGGTTGATGCTATCATACTTCGGTATGATACCTGCAACAAATCACACCTGCAAACTGACTCAAAACTGCAATGTTTCAGTCCCAGTTGGACCCTTGTGTTGTCTGTTTTCCACAAACCTACATGTGATTAGGGATGCCACAACCTTGAGTATCTGCCAATACCAACACTCACTTTTTCCCTCGCATAAACAACTAAGCAATTAATAATACATTTGTGTGGATGTACCTTGCTTAACCCAGTCATCTGGAAGACATAATGCTCAAACTGTTAAATATCCTACTCCCATGAAGGAAGAAATACATTGCCTAAAATATGACTAAATTGCAAAAATGCATAAATTGCACTCGGCTGTGCAAGAATGGATTCACGTGATAGTTTAGGAAAAAATAAATTGCATTCGATTAGATGTGATGTTCTGTATAACTACAGTCCTTCCTAGTAAGTTAGGATTTTTGTTAATTGTGGTAAAAGCTGTTTTTCTAAACCAACTGCTATCTGAACCATTTGACTTGAAAGAACCAAACATCTGTAAAAAGTTGCGCTACATCTTAAGTCTTACCATCCCTCATGAACTAAATTTTATGCCAATCTGTCTTGTAAATGTTGAGATATTTCTGTCCTAAGTGGTGGCTCTAGCATGGCTAAATATAATGTTAATTGTGGAAACATTACTTTACTTCTATCATATAAACCATCTGTGAAAGGTTGCAGTAACAGACATTAGCAAGAGTTGCACCCTGTATTAAGAAATTACTTTTTAAAAGGCTACAGTGTGAGCCGCACAGATTTTTCATTATTTATAATGTAGCGAGAACAAAAAAATGCTATCTATTGTTTTTTTCCTTCTAAATAAAAATGTTATGAATAAATTGTCTTAACTAGATATACCTAGCTATAAAACCAAATTTTGGATTTTGCCCTCGCCAAATGCTTATTAACCTTGACAATCTGTCTTAAAAACCTCCGTCAATACCGATTTGACCAGTCGAATTTCGTTTGCTTTTTTCCATTTCCAAGATTTGGGCAGTTGCAGCCCAACACAGCCCACTCTCTGCTGCTTAGAGAGAACACTTAGCCTATTGACACAGACTCAGCAAAGTGCTTTGGGCTTTTCCAGTACACACACACACTTTCAAAATGGTTTACCAACACTTCCTCCGGCATCAGATTATCTAAAAATACCCAGATGGCTCAGGCCTACTACTTGTTACCAGGTTTATTTAGACTTTGTCTGTTGGTAAAAAAAAAAGAAGGTAAATACAAATGTAGTCTGACAAGTGTGACAGAAAGAAACTGACCAGCAGCACAGAACAAGGTGTTTATATGGTCTGAATAGTGCTGTCTACAAGAATGTACTGTTAAATGATTATCTCTTTTATGTTCAGGGTTGATTTTGGTGTCACAGAATCTTTTTCTGCACCATTAAATTCCCACAATAAGGCTTTACAGGGATGGAAACCTGCTGCTCCTCGGTACTACTCCGTGCTCTTTGACTAGTATAGCAGTCAAAGAACACTTCTGCAAAACACTAAAGTAATTCACTTTGATCACGAATAGTGGCTTATTAAGGTATATCTCCTGCATCATGATAAACCTGCATGTTCAAACTGGGACAGGACTGTGGCGAGGTCTTTGATCCGTGACACCCAATGGAGAGGAAGCCGCCCTCTGTGTTTTTCTTTACAAACAGCCTGACAAATAAAAAAAAATATCACAAGACCTCAAATCGGAAAACGCTATTTCTTATGCCGGAGGTTATTTCCAAGTATTAAAGCATGAATTATTAATTCACTTATCTAGATTTACACTGCCACCTCATTACATTGGCTCCAAACACATGAACGTTATCTAAACAGTCGGATGGAAATACAGTACATTTAGGACTCAAATGAAAATGTCAGATCTTTACCACATACTAAAACATGTGCCATCATTTAATAAAGTCTCTAGGGCATAAAGTTATAAGGAACTGTATGAAAATGATTTTTATTTTGTAAAAAAGCAAGTTCCTGCCCACAGTTCATAATGTTTACTTTGATCTAAGATTAAACTGCAACACACTCCACACAGCATATAAAATACCTGTGGAAACACGAAAATGAATGACTTCAATGACAAAAAAGTCAAACTACCTTCACTACAAGGAAAATATACCAAACCCTACCTCTTTTTGATCTCCTTTCCCCCAACAATAATTTCTGTACAGTACCTAAGCTATATCAGGTTTTGGCTACTCAGATAATACTTGTTAGTCTGATGAATACATTGTTGGTTTTTGGTCTTTCAATCAGATTTGTTGGCAATAAGGACAAACATAAAAAAATCTTCCACCATTTTTAAATAACAAATATTTGTTTAAAAAAATTAAGCAAAATAGACATTTATTTTTCACTTATGACAATGTGCTGCATACAAATATTAAAATTTACAAAACTGAAGAAAAAATCATGAATAAAAGCAAATGCACATTCTATCATAATTGTTGAAGGAAGTTGCATAATTTGTCTTTTTTTCTTCTTAATATGTACTAAAAAAAAAAAAAAAACTGGTTCATTCTGGACAGGAGGTCTGCTCGTGAGGCAGACTGAGGCGAGAGTCGATCAAATCAATGAGCCTGCAGCCGACAGAATTCTTCATGAGGCAGGTGGTGGATAACCCCACCATCTCTCTTCATGCTGTCTGCAGTGCCGTGCAGTATGCTTCAAGACCCTGCAGAGGTGGATGAGGTATTGGTGCACAGAACACCCACAGAGAGGACTGACAGCACAGGTTTGTTGATGTCTGACTAAATACAATACAGAACGGCCCTGCAGACAAAATCCCTCTGTGAAGTTAAGGCGGACAAAGGAATCAGCTGTAGTTTTCCGGTCATTACCTGAGCCGAGCGCCTGATCACGTCTGCGCATTTCAGTCTCCAGAACTATCGTGTGAGCTCTCCTCGCCTGCTGCTTTCCAGTTTTTCCTCCTCTTCTTCTTTGAGTTTGGCCCTGAGTCTGAGTCTTTGTGGGAGTCCTGCTTTCGCTTTTTACGACTGCGAGTCCGCCTCTCCCTTTCTTCTTCATTATCGCTGTCCCCTGAGCTACTGTCCTCGTCTCTCCCTCTGGTTTTTGCCGTTTTCTTGTTTTTATGCCGACTCTTAGTCCTTTTCCTCCTCTGCTTGTCTTTGGTAGCGCTGCTGCTATCGCTGCTGCTTGAGCACTCTGCTTTCTTGCGTTTTTCCTCCTCGTCTTTCTTCTTCTTTTTCTTTTTCTTCTTTCGAGAGGATTTTTTCGATCGTTTTGATAAGCTTGCGTCTGTGCTAGACTTGGACTTTTTCATTTTGTGGCGTCCAATCTTCTTTGCGCCACTGTTTTTTTCACTAGAGAAAAACAAATTGAACAAATTAAATGTATGCTAAACAGAACATGGTAAGGTTTTGGTTATGACATAATGCCTTAAAGGGGCAATTCACCAATTGTATACATCGAGATCAGTTTACTCATCATAAGGGGAACTATTCGGCTGGTGGGTTGTCATTCTGTAATCTCCTCCGAGGCTCTGGAGGAGCTTTCTAAAGTCTG